GCCATCTTTATCGTTTAGTTTCTGCGTAGACCTGTGCGTTCGCCTCTCTCGTAAACACTACATTAAACAGGCAGCGCTGTAGAAGCAGGCGTTGATCTTCTTCTGCGTAGACAGTGTTTAGCCACACTATTACATCATAAAGTGGCACATTCCACAAGCTGTCGTTTTGACAGACTGGCTTCAATATAAGCTGTTTTTATATTAATGAGAATGTTTTGAGTTCTGAAACTTACAGGATGTTTTTATAGTACAATGGCCTCTTAGATGTCAAATGATCAAGGGAATTTTGATTCATGACCCTTTTAATGTACTCTTGATGTATGTCTTGATTAGCAATGTCATCATTCGTAGTTTGGCTTTGTTTCAGTCCTGATTTATGTGAGATGTGAGCCCTCACTTGGGACCCGAGTGCTGTTAAAGCAGTGTGAATCTCTGATGTACCAGTGGGAAGAGCAAGATACACACAAACACACACATTTGCTCCATTATGTATCTACAGACTTTTGGAGTTTAGTTAGTGCTACTAAGAAATGAAGTAGGAGTCATGGAGTCATGGGTTAAACTCTGGCTAAAGATCATGCAGGAGAGGAGAGAGGTCATGCAGGGAGGAATATTAATAATTAAGAATACCTGACATTAACATCTTCATAAAAAACAGTACTCATTATCCAATATATAATATATTATATTATTGAATATAATATAAAGCCTAAAACTACTTTGTTCCCCTCATTCAAAATGAAATATGCTTTATTCTGTTATTCTACCAAGTACCCCACAATTTCAGTTTGATTGTGACACGACTTACATGTGTACGTGTTCTTGGCTGTTACTGCCACTGACCCCATTATTCATAGGCATTCATACACTATCTGCACTGATACTGTCCAGCTGCGTGCGTGGGCTGCAAACTGGGACATTTACGGCTCTAATGCTTTTTATTTGGCACCTGTGGGACCTGGCGGAAGCTTCCAGCATCCTTCTGCCTCCCGCTAATCCTTTGCTAATTGTTGCTTTATTCAAATAAATGAGGACACTAACGTCTTGGCTAATGATGTTTTAGGGAGATGCCTGAAACTGATGGACTGTGGACTGTGCTGCTGTAAGACTGCAGTTAAAGATCGCTTTTGTCAGTTCTCATTTATGTATACGTATGGAAGCGGGACAGGTGGCAGTTTGTACGTCACATCAAGTGCACAAATCCATGATTCATGCTGAGAATACTTGCAGTGGAGAGTAGAACTGATTTCCCTTCATGAGCAAATTAAATTATGGGATGTCTACAGTTGGTTAAGGTCTCCAGATCTGTCCCTGCACATTGGTCATCGTGTAAGGATCATATAATGATACCCCAGTGAATCACTGGGCTTATTTAGTTTGAACCACGAAAGCAAACGGAATGTCAAGAGTTTATATATTTAAGTATGTGGATACAATATGATGAATGAGATGGTTTTATCCAAGAATTTAAGAGGTCTAACATGACCTAACCTGACCAGTCATTTATTCTTCTAAAAATATAATGAGCTCTGGCCTTTTAAAAAAAGTGGACACAAGAATTGCTGACACATTGGAAACATTACGCTTGAAACTATATTTTGGGTCATTATGGGTCATCTGTCTTTTTCCACATACAGATCCAATCTATGCTGTGAGTAGGATGAGTGTGCACATGTCTTATGAATACTGGTCTTGTTTTTTAATTTTGGACTTGTCCCATCAGTAAATTGTTTAACATTTTTGAACAGATCCATTGTGTTCATTGACATAAGACTTTTTGCATCTCTGAAGTCATATTTAATTGCTTGAATGCCAAATCAAGATACAAAAATTGGCTTTCTCAAACAATTTCTCAAATGTTTTTGATTACTCATTTGCCTTTCATTTTGATAGCAAATGGAGAATTTTATTTTAAACTTTATTCAGTAATCCCTAAGGCTAAATGACAAGATCCAATTTTGCAATAATCTGATATGTTAAATTGATTTGTAATGCTTGGTAGGACTGGGACATTTCAATTCATTTAAATGATTTCAATGATATTTGAATTATGTTATATAGCTGCCATGCTTATTAATATTTAAGAGTGCGACAACAAATACCATAAGATTTTTGTTTTCTATATCTTCAGTTCAAGAGTTTATTTCAGCATAAATAGCTGGCCATTGCACATTCTGGAGGGTCACATCGAGGGTAAGAGCGAGACAAGATTGTCTTTGTGTTTGAAAATGTGAAAATGAAATGGTGAAAATATACACAGTAATGTTGAATCATTTATATACATGCAGCAGATGATGGTGCTAAGTAGTTTAAATCATGCCTCATGCTGTTTTGATACACATAAGAATTGTGAAATGAAACAAAAACCATATAACTGCTTCAGCATGAGCAGAACCATCTTAAACTTGACCTTCTCACAGAGAAGAAATAACTAGAGTCAAAAGATTGTCTAAAAAGACTACAATAAATTAAAGCAAGACAGCGTTCACATTTTAACATCACAAGTATGAACAGATGAACAGTTCTTCCTCGATGACCACTGACTGATAGTGACCGTTCAAATTTTCCTCAGTGGTTACAAGGATTTAAAAGTGCAAAACATACGACCTTAAAAGACATTCAACATCTTAATAGCTTTTACAATTTCATCTCCTCACTATACATTCTATCATCTACACATACTTTAAAAGAAACAAAGATTTGCAATAATGTGCTGTGTATCATGTGCTCTTACATTGTATGATGAGTTTTGGGTACCGCTATATTTTGTGATGGTGTTACTCTCAGTAAACATGGATATGAAATTGCTTGGTTAATTCACAGAATATTGTACATATTATGGAAATTCCAAAGAATGTACACTTAGCTACATCTTATGTAAGTTTGAAATAGTGGACAGTTGTTTATGCACCAATGGAAATGAAAAGTGTTTTGGTCACCTTAACATAAGGAAAAGGACATTTTAAACCACGAGTTCCAGCATGAGAAAAGCTAACAAGGCACTCTGGTTACTTGAACTTGTGACCTAATGGAGATCTCACCAGAATGTCTGCAAAAGGGGGTCTTGAAGCAGGGCAGTAGATATTTGCTCACATGGTCGTCCATCAGATCTAATCAAGATTTGCCCGGGTTAATCAAATCAGTCAATCAGGGCCCAATGGAACTGTATTCATCTAATACGAAGGCCTTTTCTGCAGAAATTCACAAGAACTTACAATAAATTAAATATACATTTTTAGAGCTCTGTTTCGCTGTTTAGAAAATGCAGTCTTTTTTTAAAATGCATTATGAATTACTATCAGAAAATGAGGCCAGTTTGCCTCTCTATCCTCCTCTGCTCTTTCACTCTTTCCAGAACCCCTTCATGCAATTTTTTTTTGCATGTTTTGACCCATATATAGCAACATTGTTTTTCCTACTTTAGTAAGCACTTTTTTTCACTTTCTAGCACCAAGTTTAGTCCTTTGGTTAGTCTTTCTCTTAAACTTTTCTCTTTAGTCTCTAAATTAGTTTTTAGGAATTTTTGCTCTGAGTAGTTCTCATTCACAACACTCACATCAAGCTCTTGAAATGTATTTCACCTCCCGACACATCGTTCTGCTGAACTAAGCAAGTCTTTCAGCATGCATCATATGCTTCTTTCTTGTAAGCTCAAATTCTCATCTTTAAAGGTCACCTGCAGCGGCTGGTGCTTGGAACATTGGGCTTCATTTGTGTTGGCGTGCGTGCACGAATGTGATTTCACAAAGTCCGTGCCTGTTTCCGTCCTGTTTTCTCCACTGCTGAGCTCTACCACCTGAGAGTCCCGCAGAAGGGTTTGCTCGGTTGAAGTCGAACACGTCCTGCTCTGCACAGAGCCACCGCAGCAGCCCATTTCCTGTCCCGCCTCCATGGGATACAGGTACATCTGTGATGTGCTGATCACCTCTGGCAGCTCGGGCAACGCTAGCGACGGCAAATCACGAGACATGACCGATGAGCTGTGGACGCCGTTACCGCAGTGGAACTCCGTAGGGCTCCTCCCGTGTCTCCTCCCACCGATACGGCAGAAGAGGCACTTGATCTTTTCCAGAATCTTCTGCACGATATAAGATACAGGAAACGTATCCCATATTTTTAATTTATAAAAAACACAATATTTTCTTGTACAACTATAGACTATATATTGCCCAGTATATTATACTGTAATTCACATTTTACAATTTTACAGTAGATACAGTTATAATGTATGCTATTGTAAAATAGGTATGATACTATTTCACATAATTTTGTGATTAAAAAACACTCCACCGTACCGTATTTAAACTACGTTTAAGTGAACTCGTGGACGTTTATTAGCAAACCATCTTTGCGTTTTGTTTTGTGAGTTTCCCCACATAATTACATTTATGCAACTTCCTCTAAATCAAAGTACGCTGTCATTTCCCAGAGGCCACCAAACCCCACTTACCACTAAAGGAATTGAGCAGATGAGAACGACAATGGACGTGGCTATGAGAACGATGACCATCTGGATCTCCGCGCCGGCCAGACGCGCGAAACTCCGCCTGCGCCTGATCTCCGCGACTCGCGCCTGGTCAGTCCCCAGCGAGGTCCATGTAGATCCAGGGGTCCAGAATGGGGTTGACAGAGGCAATTCGGATGGCCTGAAGGTCTGGGTTCGGCTTTCCTTGCGTCACTACTGGAGAATGATACAGCTGGTTCACAAACACCTGCATCTAAACAGCAAACAAGACATTATCTGTTTACTTATCTGTAATTATCATACATTGATTTCTGACACCAACCACTATCTATTTGATAAAGCAGATGATGATACACACATTGATATCAGATACTGGTTTTCTCCTCAGGCTTTCCACTATGAGTCAACTCATAATTGTACATATCATACATACAGATACATTCCCATTCAGTCAACATTTTGCATAGAACATCTCTCATCAGTAGATAACAAGCAATCGATGTCTCATGCACTAAGTCTGTGACTGTGGAAAAATTTTGGGCTTTTTTTTTTGATCAATTTCAACTTTTCAATCTAAGTGCTGATTGAAATTGTACAGTGTGTAAAACTGTATGAGTGTTCAACCTATGAGTGTTTTAGTATGAACAGAGCCCCAAAATCCATTAAAAGACTTTCAGGGCAAAAGAAAACACATCTAATAGGACTATTTTTATGGTAAAAAGCTGGCTGTTGTGTTTGCCAGAACCTTACCATTTGAAAAACAGTGGCATGAAAGGTATAAACATATCACAAGCATTATGGGATGCATTTGTTTGACTGTGTATTTTATCAATACTATCTAAATGTCATCGAAACTCCGCCTGCGCCTGATCTCCGCGACTCGCGCCTGGTCAGTCCCCAGCGAGGTCCTGCGGACGAAGCGCTTGTGCATCATGATGAGAGCCGCGCACACCAGCACGTTACAGAGGACCGTAACGAGGATGAGGATGGAGCTGAAGCCCGCGTACATGTAAGAGAAAGTGGCGTTCGTGCTGTCGTTGCTATGCCAGTCAATGAAACACCAGGTTCCTGGATGCTGTTGCACCACGGATCCCAGTCCCATGCTGGGAAGAGCGCAGAAGAGTGCATTGGACACATAGATCACCGCGAGCGTCAAGCCTGCCACCCGCTGGTCCACGTAGTGGTTGTAGAAATAAGCGTGATTGATGGCGAGGTACCTCTCGACGGACATGGCACAGATAATACTGAGACCTGCCAAGGAGAAGAAGAGTAAAATGAAGCCGGAATACTGACACAGCGGGTTCCCGCCGGGCCACTCTCCCTTCACATAGGTGGCAATGGTGACTGGGCTCGCGAGGAGAGTTCCCAAGAGGTCAGTTACGGCAAGTCCACACACCAGGGTGTAAAAAGTGGTCTCTTTTTGCTCTTTTCGCGACTTTCGAAGCACTACGATAGCAATCACGTTCCCGACCACACCAAATATGAACATAATGACCGGGATGGTGGGGTCATAACCTTTATTGCCACCACTCGTGCTCGTTTCGTTCATCTTTACCGAGTTTTTTTTCCACATGCAGGTTGATGTCCAAATCAAATCATGCGTTCAAGACGCATTGCATGAGATCCTTGACTTCCTCAATCGATGTCAAGATCCCACGATGATACCTTCCACATTTACGTTTCATGCGCTGTTACGCGTCTCCAAAATCTCCAAAGCGCGTCTCGGATTAGAATACATTTTGACTCGCCGGAGTCGGGTACGCATGCGGTCTTTCACAAGTCCTAAAGTTCAGTCCTGTGTTTTTGTTCGTGAGAGGTGTGTAGTCCACGGTTGCCCTCAGTCTCACTAAACTGACTCACAAGTTTTTCCTTGAGAGCTTTCTGACAACTCCGCCCCTAGCGCGCAGTCTTACACCCTCCTGTCACTGCAAGTTGACACACATACATGTCTCTGCATAAAATATCTCCGAGGCTAATATCTGTCTACATAATTCGCACTCATTGCTCTTTCTTCTTTTCACCAAAATTATGCCTGAGTAATTAAAGGAAAAGATCATTTTTGTGTCCCTCCTGAATGTGTAAACGATGCATTTAACAATTTTCTGCTTTTATGTCCTACGTTTTATTGAACAAAATTAAAGCTAGCTTTTTATCCTCTCTCTTTTTTGGTTTGTCTGGTAAAATGGTGCCGCCTTCAAGAGTTCAACTTAGCATAACTTGACATAAAGGAAGTGCTACCACCACAATGCATGTGTTGAAACATGAATAGCACATTTTGCTAAGAGACTAAAAAGAACAAGTGTTTTGCTAAAAAATGCAGTAACATAAATGAAAATCATACTTTATTTAAAAATATAAATGGTTTTGTAAACATAATCATATTTTTCAGTCCTCAGCATGATTTAGTCAACTGAAATTTTCTGTCTGTTATTATCATAATGTTGTGATGATGACCTAGCTCCAAAGCCCCAGCACGCCATCCACCTCACATCACATGACCATAATTCATTCTTCAGGAAGAAATAAAACAGCACATGGTAAGTGCACAAAACAATATGCTTCTGTTATTAAATCCTCAAGATTTACATGCTGGCTTCATGCTGAGTTCTGGCCCCTGAGGTTAAGTAGTGCTATATAATTTATGCATGACATGTTCATAACGAGTGGGAGCTGAAAGAAATATAGTGCTATCCATTTTATCTGGTACTTAAACCTTTAATCATTGACGATGAGATTTACACACTTGTTCAAAAAGTTATATTAACAAATCAAGTGTGATTGGAAGGAGTTAGTAAATTACATTGGGATCTCCTTTTCACCCATTAAAAATATTTTTTAATGATATAGATTAAATGTATTTGTCAGTATTAATTTCTTTAAGCACTTGCACTTTCTCACACTTCTGTTTTTGCCTATGACCTGGATAGTTCGGCAAGGTTTTCTGAAGACAATGACTCACTCAGTGCACAGCCTTTGACATGTCATTGTAGTTGTTCCTGGATTTGTTTGTTTCCGTCTTGTGGTGTACCTTGTGCATACTGACGTCTGATATCTGCTCAAGCTACACTGGACGCAGTGTTATTCAAAGCCATGCATGCACCAGCTACACACATCATCAATGCATGTATGAGATCTGAAAACAGTGTGGTTTTCTGTGAGGTTTATATTTGTGGAAAAATGCATTTCTGATGTTACTGCTATGTCGCTACAAAGGAAGTGTGCGGCCATTAGGTATACACACATTAGGTACAGTTCACAGGAATGTCACGTACCAGTTAGCTTGTAGAAATGCACAAGAAATTAGTGATTACAAGCCCAGATCAAAAAATCCTAATCTAAAGGGTTAAAGATTACACATTCAGTCTGAAAATAGAGCTGAAGTTGACACAGAGTAACACGCACCGGGTAACGTTCTAAGAGCATCTCTTTTCAGTTCTGATAGTGATTTACGATGCAAGTATACTTTTAAAAAACTGCACTTGCAATATGAACATATAACACTGCATTAAGATCTGAAGTTGCAATTACGAGAAAGAAAGTTGCAATGTAACAGCATTTAAATTGCAATCATGAGAAATTAAGAAATTAATGCAAGATAAATTTACAATTATGAGAAATTAAGTCACAACTGACATATAAATTCAAATTTATGAGAAACAGAGTCATGATTACAAGAAATAGTCATAATTGTGAGATATGTAGTCACATTTGTGGGATAAAGTCTAATTTTAGAGAAATAAACTTGCAGTTGTCAAAAAAAAAAATCACATTTGTGAGATATAAAGATGCAATACCTAGTAATAAAGTTTTCTAGGACACATTTTAGTCATAATTGTGAGATATGTAGTCACATTTGTGGGATAAAGTCTAATTTTAGAGAAATAAACTTGCAGTTGTCAAAAAAAAAAAATCACATTTGTGAGATATAAAGATGCAATACCTAGTAATAAAGTTTTCTAGGACACATTTTTAAGATTTAAACACACAATTATGAGAAAACAGGTTGCAAGTACCCCCTGTTTTTAAAACTCATAGGTTGAAATGGATTTCCTTAGATACCAATGGCAAAACAGATCAAGTGGGGATGACATCAAATGGTCCACAAGCATCACTCTTATAGAATGTCTGTGCAGGTATTGAATCCAACACTCACAGTGCAGCAGTATTTTAAAAACATTGATTCTGTATTTAATTATTGTCTGAGACGATCGATGACCCTCCATCACACATCATGTATTTAACTTTCTGAGCGTAAATTCCCACTCAGTCCACTGGTACGACTGATGTTTAATCTGCAGTTAATGAAACATAAAACCTCCTAAACTACAGCTTTTTTGTTGATTGAGCTGTCTGTGTTTGGAAGGGTGGTGCAGCTGACTAAGTGGCTATAGTACATTTTCAATGCTTCTGTGACCAAAGTCAATAAGCAGTAATGAAAAGTCATTCAATGAAAGCGGAGTGCATGATGGGTATTTAATTTATTCTAGGGAAGCTCCGCTTAGAACTTATTTTATTACCTTCCCAGAGAATGAGCAGACATGAGTCAGTGTCTAAATTTATATATTAAAGTTATCTCCAATTTGATAGCCTCTATTAGCAAATTTTGAATATTTTCTTAGTGGTGATGGTCTGTTTTTCCCCCCCAAAACACATGATGTGGTTTGTCTAAACAGTTCTTAACAGCTATCCCATCAGCACTCAATTAGGATTCCACAAAAGCTTTTAGTGGTCATCTTGGCCCCCCGGTCCTCAGCTTTTGTCTCCCTTAAAATTCATGTATGTCATCATGTTTGACTTAATGACCTTGTCACATTAAAGGATCTCCTTCATTTACACTCAGTACTTCAAAAAGTCTTCATTTAAGGGTTATATAAGCATCATTCTGGGGTTTCTCAATCCTGCTCTCAGTACATTTTGCATATCTCTCTTGGAGTAGAGCTCTTAAACTGGGTGTGTCAGATTGTTGAGACATCTAAAATGAGACAGTGTTGGATCTCCCCCTACTTGGAAACTACAGAAAAATAAAGGGGTCACTGTAGGAGTGACCTTTGACAGAGAAAAAAAATCTCTTTCTGCTAGCATTAGTTGAACATGTTTCATGATATTTATAGATGGTACACATACTTGAGCTCAGTCTTTGTGGTAATATAATCCACCTTATTTTTAACGTAGGAGTAGGTGCCGCCATTTGTAAATTTAATGTGCGAGGTGTCATTCACTTGTGTCAAAAACAGTCTGTTATGCCGCTTGATATTGTAAACTGATATTTGGTATCATAAAATTTGTATTCATTATTGTAATCATAAACAGTTTTTGTGTGGGGACTAAAGGGAACTAAAGAGGAAGGAAGCAACTCACTGGGGAAACGAGCAAGTGTTGATGTATGTGTGTGTGTGTGTGTGTTGTGGATTTCAGTCTATTTGTGAATGTTGGAACGGCTTTGTTTAGTGAAATTTTAGAGCAGTGTTTTTATGCTGCTTGCCTGGATTATGCATGCTTATATGCATATGCTTATTGAAATTTTGGGTCAATACAATAAATGACAATTAAATATAAATATTTGAAAATGTACTGTGAGTCATCTTGCGTAACTATGATGCAACTAAAAAACAGAATGGCCTTAGATGCAAAGATAAAATATAAAAGCACTATGAGCCACATTGCTGGAACAGTTTAGATCACGTCCTGTTTTGCTCTCACCCTGTGTGAGACCTGATGTGACCACTTCCTCCACAACTTACAGTCTGTATTAATGTATTTGAAAAAGTGAGCTTGGTAAACATTGCTTTAAATATGCAATACAGGGAAAGGGTAAAAGAAGAACTGAGAAACCGTTAACTGACAAACACACACATGCACACAGAAAGAGAGAGAGTGTTATATGTCTGATCCTTTGAAAACTAGAATGCACATGTAGAAGAACAACACCTTTGCTCCAGTCCATTGGAGACTCTGAGGAGTGGAATTTGTTGTAAATGTGTGCATCTCAGTTCATATCTGTGTGTAAGCAAATGAAGTTTGATTGATGTCCCTCTGGACGCCCCCCTCCCCATCCCTCTTCAGAAGAAAAACCACAGTCCGACATCATGTTGCATTTACTGGAATCACCTCCTTAGAGGAGGTGAGACATGATCTTTCTCAAGATGTGTCACAGATTACATTGTCATAACTTGAGAGTTCTGTTTGTTTTTAATGTATTTTAAGGGGTCATATGTCATAATTGCTTATCATTTTTGTAACTTACAATGATTTGGACTAGATTTTAAAAAATAAGTAAATTGCATAGTATTTCTTCAATGTGGATTCTCTTTATGAAAACAAATAAATAAATAAAAGAAGTGAAGAGAACAAGGCTGTTTCTCAATTCTTGACACCAGTCAATGTTATCACTGAAGTGATATTTATGAAGCATTACCACCCCAGCATTCATGAAAGAGTCAGACCCATTTTGAGAAGAAGCCAAGTCAAATGGCTGTTCACCCTGGGGTGCATTTCTACTAAATAACTGCTCAGATAAAACATCCGATTACTGGAAATGTTTTGGTGTCATGGGATATAGAGCCAGTGTGTTGACTTAACTGACTGTTTAAAATCCAAGTATGGAGTTTAAAAGAGAGGAAATTAACAGAGTTATGATTTGGCACTAGAGACACGACAAGAGCGAGAATACATATCTCATAAATCATCTGATGTAGTTTGTCAGGTAGAGTCACCATATGTCATTTATTTAATTCAAATGACCTAAAATCTCTGGGGTTTGGTTTTGTTTTCCTATCGATGTGCTCTCTATGGTCCTCATACATTATATATATGTGTGTGTGTGTGTGTGTGTGTAAAGTCATGGTTTATTGTGACAGATTTTGTTGTGTTTTTCCCTTTGGCAGGTTGATTTTGCTGCTGTGGTGACACCTGACAGAAGCCCTCTTTG